GGGAGAGTGCCTCAAGGAACCCTTAACAGTGTTTGGGTAGAAAAGGAAGGGCTTGCATTTCCTTTTCAGCAGCAGGGAAGATGCCAGAAAGATTGAAGGAGATGAGGGAATGACATGTCAGGAAAGCAGAAGAAAGGGAGCAGAATCGTCAGCAGCATCGAAATCTGCCAAGGAGTCAAGTAAAATAAGGACTGGGAGCGTCCATTGGATTTTTCAACTTGGGGGTCACTCAGAGGAACGATGGGACCAGGGGTGGATTGAGGAATTGGAAGAAGGAAATTGAGACAGCATAAAATTCCAACATTCATCCATAGGATGAATGAACTTACATAAAATAAAGTAAACTAAGCACAGATCTGTGGGAATACTTACAATAAAGGGATACAAAGGAAAAAAGGAAGCAGAGAAAATGATGAACATCCGGGAAAACGACCAGGAAAGCTCAGCATCAGAGAACAAACAATAGGAAATTTCTGGAGAGAGGGATCACCAGCAGTGCTGAATATTAATTGTGGAGAAATCAAATATGATGAGGGCTGAAAACAGGCCAGAGAAACCTGACTCCTAGTAGGTGATTAATAATGCTTCAGAGAATCGGTCTGTTAAAATGCTGAGTGCATACACCTAGACTTGCAGTGACATACAAGGGCATGACATGACAAGTGTGAAAGTGATGTGGTAAGAGTAGATTCTACCTTTACCACAGTTGTCAGGAAAAACGTTGAGGAAAATAAAAACATCTTGTTGATGTTGGGAGAAAGCCGACAGTACCTTTAGGAAGTAAGATTGGAAGGAGAATGGTTTTGTCCTTGATCTGTTTTTGTTTGCTTTTAGGACAAGGCACAACAAGCAGGTTTGTAAGATGGGAGAAAGGTTTATGGAGCAGGAATAACGGGAAATAGGAACAAGGCGGGGAAATTGGTGGAGCGTGACCCTGAACATGGTGGGAGAAAATGAGGTGAAGAGCATCAGCAAAGGATGAGAGGGGAGAGGGGATATTTTACTTTTGGGGAACAGAAGCACTAGAGAGAAGTTTGGTAAAAACTAAGCCACAAGGAGTTTAGGGAACAAAAATTTATGGCGGTTCAAATTGGCCTTCCACTTTTGTCAGAAACTTTCATTAGTCTAGGATCTAGGAAAGAGAAGAGGAGTGGTGTGTTTTCTCCCGAGCTGGGGATTCGGCAGGCAGATGAAGCGGGAGACGAGGAGGTGAGAAAACCAAGAGTGGCTGCTGTTTCTCATCGTCAGGTCTTTTCCTATAGCTGTTAATGATGTTAGTGATGCATCGTAAAACCCAGCTGCCGCTTTTTCAAGTTTTTAATAGTGAAATTGGACAGGTCTCAGAATATTTTTCTTCCACTCTCACAGGGTGTCCTTAAATTGGCACCAGCTCTTTTACTCCCTCACACAGAACTGTCATTAGGCACCCTGGCCTCATCTTCTAGGCGTTCCCTCATCTGTCTTTCACAAAAGCCACAGAAAAACCGCCATTTTGATAGAATGTCCATGAACTTGAAAAAGAAATATGTTTTTTCCAAAACTTAGCCCCTCAGGTGACAAAGCTCAGGAAACACATTAAAGTCAACAGATAATAAATTTGGTTTTTAATGTCCTGGAAGGCAGGAATTCCTGAGACGCGTGTTCCCGATACCTTGACCGTGTTTACCTTATGGGTCTTAATGAGGCAGAAAGGTTATTTTCAGAAGTCAAACCAATCATAGCCTTTTAAATAAAATGTTCTGAGTCTTGGACTTTTGGGGGGAGTAAAACTATACTGTGGAAAAAATTACAGCAAGGTGTATGTATATATATATATCACATGTAGAACATTTTTTAAAAAGCTGTAATAAGAGAAATGCTCCTCTAAGTACAGTAAGACTTCATTTTTCTAGAGGTCATGTGTTCAACTCTTGGGAATACAGTCAAGAAAATGTATCCCAGAATGTCTTCGAAGAGTCAGAATAGGTGTCGTAAAGTCTGGGCTATAAATTCATGCAGTTTACTCTACATGTGAGAGAATTCCTAGGATACTTATCTAGAGTCTATTTGCTCTTTCTTAATTTAGACATAATTATAACATGGAGATAAAGCACATAATGTTTTGGGACAAGGAGTACACTGATATCAATAGAAAGTACAAGCGTCAGTAAAAGAGGAGCCCAAAACAACTTAACCAAAACCTCACTAAACGACCGAGAAGCCTGAGATGTTTATTACAGAATCTAATAGCTCCATGCCTCTCAGTAGCCCTCACGGTGTATGACACCAGCATGCACCCATTGATATGCTCAGAGTTCCCTTCTAATTCTTAAGATCCTGTTTAATTTTCTATTTATAATCATCCCCCCTCCCATCCCCCACCCACCCCATGAATAACTTTACAGTCTCTGACCTGGCCTCCCTGCCTCTGCTCTGAAACCATTCAAGGCCATCTTCTTCATACACAAATCTGATTTTTTCCATCCAAAATTTAAGACAAATGAAAGAGCTTGATGAGGTGAGGGTCAGCTGTCTGGGAAATTTACATCGCTATATCACAGTTATGTCACAGCGATCCCAGGTCAGTAGCACTCAGGAGTCATTTCTGTTCCCACCTCTAAGCTTGGTCATTTCTTAATTATCTGCATTAGTGGAAACAAGCCATGGCTAGTACACATCAAAAACAGGAGATGAGATGGTCTTTCATTATTTTTGTTTGTTTTGGCTTTGGAATACTTGATTCATTTTGCAGTGGATTTATCTCTCCCCAGATATTTCCTTAGACTAATACTAAAATTAACTTGCATGTCCTGACAATAATTCCTTAGAAGCAGTAAGTGGAAGCCCCCTAGCATCTTGTGGCAAAGGGGCCATATTAGAGTGGGAAATGGATCATGGAGTGGATTAGCCACATGGCGATAACTAAGAAAGGACTGTCTTGTTTTGGCAACAAAATTGTTTTCATGTCATACAGATTACTTATATATCCATGCACCATAGGTTGCTTGCTTGTGTATGAAGTGAATGCACTCCACATATTTGGTACATTGTTTTTGTGAGAATGCACTCGATTTTTCTGCCATTTTAGTGCAGACACAAGATGTTCTGTGGATTCAGAGAAGTCCTAGAGCCCATTGGTGTCTGTGGGTAGCTGAGTGACTTACTTGGACTGTAACAAACTTCTGCATAAGCAGAGGCTGTCCTGTAAGGGCAGGTGGCTGCCTGGCAAGCCTTATTCTATCTATATTCTGAGGACTTGCATCTTGACTTGCTTTGGTCTACCAACGAGGAGTTTGTATTAAAATAC